TTGTAATTATGCCACTGTTTATCAATAAATATTTTCATTCCCATTATTGTGGTCGTCCCGATTATATAGTGGTTAGTACGTCTGTTTGTGGCACAGAAAGCTCGGGTTCGAATCCCGATCGGGACCTTCCTTTCAGTGTTGATCCATCAATGTCGAAAAAACTCTTTTATTTTATTCTTCTTTCTTTACGTTCGTAACGCGGTAGCACATTGTGCTGCGGTTAGTGCGGGCTTCACGTTTTTTCGATTACGTCCCAAGGTTGAACGTTCGGGTCTCCTTTTCGCCTTTTTATTCAGCTTCACAACGTTTTACAACGTTTTTTTCGCATTCGTTACTTCGAATGCGTTTTGCCTTGCGCATACGCCCTGCGCAGGGCCACTAATTCTGTCCCAAATGTGTGCACTGACTCAACCGATTACACATATAAGTTCGCTTCCCCCTTTCGTATAATAACTACTCAAGTGTCTCTTTTGTCGGATCGTTTTGTTCCCTTTGTTTTCATGGCCTTGGGGCATCGCACCGCGCCCCTTGGACCGCCAAAATACAACAAAAAAACTACTCAAGTGTCTCTCCTTCTTGCCTCATGACATCATCCCTCATTAAAATAATTCCGACCGCCTTCCGAAGAGACCCGAGTCCTCTCCGAAGGCTTCCGACCACACCCGAGCCTCGTTCTAAGATATTTCCGATTTCCCCCAACAATAGATCGAAATATCCTTTAGACCAATCAGAAGGCTCGGAAGACACTAGACCTCCTATCTAGAACAATGGGGACCCAACAGACTACGGATTGCTGCTACCGCTAAGTCACTGAACTTTTAGCTGAATAAATTGATCAAAGGACAAAGTTTGATTTTGTGCAATACTCAATTTACTGCGTGTGTAATTTTGAAAGAATGTTAAATATTCACCCACCATTTCTTGTGTCAGTTGCTGTGCTGATAGTTGATATTCATAAGTCACGTGCATTGACGTTATATCTGATAAAACACCGCCTACTTATAAGGGGAGGTTTTATCGATATAAAGTCACTGCACGTGATGCATTATCAACCATTTAATAAATCATTTGGCTTATGAATTATGAATGAGTTTTTGAGTTAGCTTTATTGCTTCTGCATTTACAATGAAATTTTGATTAAGGCGTTTGGCCTATAGATTGTCTTTTCAGCTTTTTTTGCCATGTTAATGCAGTTTCATTACTGTTCTATAAACACTAATCCACACATCTAAATAACAACTAACATTAATATTTTGGATGTCATATTTACAGGGATTATTCCCCAGTAAAACTATTGAGAAACCAGTTGTAAGTTTTGTTATAATTTGGTTTTTACCTTCTAACAGATCTTTACACTTCAATGAAATTCAGCGATTAAATGCTGGGGTTTTCTCAAACATGGCACAATTGAGAGAATTGTAAGTGTTATCAATTTATCATTGTATTTGTCTTTTTGTTATTATTATTTAGTAATAATTATCATAATGATCAATAATTCATTATTGTCAGTATTACATTTTTCTGTGCGAAAAATCTCCTTTTCGAATCTTAAAGAGCTTTTTAGGCAATATTTTCTTTAAGAGTAGTTTTATCATGATAGGAGTTTTTAGCGCTTTTGTCCGCTCAATTTTTTCGTTCTCTCATTACGCAGATATCTTTATAATAACAAAATCCAGAAACTGGAAACAGGGACGTTCTCAAGTCTGAAAGAGTTAACTAAGTTGTAAGTTGTACTCGTTAAAGTGCTGTTTATTTATTTGAATTTTTTCTTGTTGTTGGCATGAGCCTTCGAGTTAATGCTAAAGTAGTGTAGAGTGGAACCACTATCGTTACCATACCACACTATTAAGCCATGAGTTTGCCGTCTTTAATGTGTTAACGGACTCAGTTGATAAAAGCAGCCCTGCTTTCTTCTTTGTTATGTTTTTGGTTGTTTGTTTCTTTGTCATCTTAGTGAGGAATTCGATTGCACGCTGATGAAAATGGAGGACGCGGGAAGTTCGAACCGTCATTCTTTTGGCCTCTTTTGAACGGCAAAAAAGAGAGTACCTAAAAAAAAACCGAACATTTTTCTGCGCGAAAAATCTCCTTTTCGGATCTTAAAGAGCATTTGGGACAATATTTTCTTTAAGAGTGGTTTTATTGTGATAGGAGTTTTTAGCGCTTTTGTCCACTCAATTCTTTCGTTCTCTTATTACGCAGATATCTTGATAATAACAAAATCCAGAAACTGGAAACAGGAACGTTCTCAAGTCTTACAAAGTTAACTCATTTGTAAGTCGCACTTGTTTAAGTGGTCGTTATTTATTTGAATTTTTTGTTGTTGTTGGTATGTGCCTTCGAGTTCAAGAAAGTAGGGTAAAGTCGAGCTACTATCATTACCATACCACACTATCAAGCCATGAATTTGCCGTCTTTAATGCGTTAGGGGGCTCAGTTGATAAAATTAGTCCTACTTTCTTTGTTTTTGTTTGTTTGTGTCTTCAATATCTTAGTGAGG